GTAGCGCAGCCCTTAAAAAAACAGGAGAAGAGGACGGATGGAAAGGGGAGGGGAACGGATGGAACACGAGAGAAAATAGCATGAGAGGGGGCTAGGAGCAGAACACACGTGGCAAAACCAGACGGGGAAACCCCGACGAGCGGGTCGAGGCGGTCAGGTCGAGCAGGCGGGTTGCTGAAACGTGAGTCCCGCGTGAATTGCGCAGAAGTCTCAGGCGACAGCCCGATTCCGAAATCAGTCGTGATAGTGGCCAAAGCGGGAGCGCGATTCCTGAATTTCGAGGGCGCGGCGTCTGAATCAATTGCGAGGAACTCCCGGCGTTTGAACAAGTTACAGGGAGTCCCGCGCGAGAGCGCGATTCTTGCATACACGTGCGAGAGCGCGATTTTGGAATCCGTATCAGGCGCGGGCCGTTGTTGATGTAGCCGGGGGGCATTCGCTAGCACATCAAGCAGTGGCGAAGCGTCCTGGCGTGCCTATAGGCCTACCAAACAGTTTTTGTTATTAGATTTGCTTGGGGGTTCTGAAAACATGTCGTGGTAGGCCTATAGGATTGCCGGGACGGTGGGTCCCTGCTCAAGCACCGTGTGATCATCAAGATTTTGTGGCTTCGTTTTTGAGGGAAACAGGGTGCGGGTCCCGAGGAGGTCATGTCAAATTGAAAAACACGATCCGCAGCCCCACACGTTCCGTAGCCCCCACAGGGAGCTCCGCCGACTGTCCCGAGCCCCAGCGTCGCCCAGGCCACTCCGGAAGGCCCCTCACTCGCTCCTCGTGGCCCCGCACGGAGCTTCCACCCTGGGGCCCGCCTGCGCCCCCAGGCCTCCACGGGTGGCGAGATTCACGAGCGCGGCGTTCGCATCTGCACAGTCCTGGGTCTTCTTCGTCGGAGCAGTCTGGCAGGAGATCGAGGCCGTCCGACTCAAACATCACGATTAGCGAATAGGTTGTGAAGAGGTCTCAGGCGGAGCGACTGCTGGACGGCTGCACAGGAGGGAGAGCACGGCCATGTGCATCTCACTTTTTCCCAACCATCCTGGGGTGTTCGGTCCTTGTTTCGACGAGACAGCGCCCCGCGTCACCTCACCTCACCTGCCTCCACCGTCCTCCTCCCCATCCTTGCTTCTGCCCTTCACATGCAAAACTCGACACACCCCTCACAAGTCTCGTGGATCCAAAGGCGCCAGACGGGGGGGGGTTCTGTGTGAAGTCGCACCGTCCATTTTCGGCAAACCCTTCACACGTTGGTGACGCCGCAAGGAGCTCCACCGAAGGGCCCAGGCGAGGGGTACGCATGCTGTCCTCCCGCCAGTTTCGGCAAACCCCTCACACGTTTCGTGGCCCCACAGGGAGCTCCAACTAAGGCCCCAGGGAGTCGGGTACGCATCAGGGCGGAAAGCGGTCCCAGGGAAAGGCCTTGGGTCCCTTGAAACCTTGGCGTTGCATCCCAACCATCCTGTGGTGTTCGAGTCTTTGTTTGAAGAGACAGCGCCTCGCGTCTCCTCCTCCTCTCCTCCTCTCTCCTCCTCTCTCCTCCTCTCTCCTCCCTCCTCCCATCCCTGCATCTGCCCTCCGCGTGCACATGTCGGCACACCCATTGCACGTTTCGTGGCCCCATGGGGAGCTCCAGCGAAGGCCCCAAGGGGGGGGGTACGCATGCGGTCCCCACGTCCATCTCGGCACACCTCTTACACATTTCGCGGCCCCATAGGGAGCTCCACGGAGGGGTACGCATGCTGTCCCACCGCCCATTTCAGCACCGCCCTCACACAATTCGTCACACTTTGGGGAGTCCCACATAAGTCTCCAGAGCGGGGAGGTTTGCATGCGGCCCCCCAGTCCATCACGGCAAACCCCTCACGCGGTTCGTGGCCCCATAATTTACACCGAGGCTCTCAGAGGAGAGGGGTTCGTATGCGGTCCCCCCGCCAATTTCGGCTTATTCTTTACACGTTTCGTGGCACCACAGGGAGCTCCACCGAAGGCCCCAGACGCAGCGCCCGCATGCGTCCCCAGGCTTCGTTCGGCATACCACTCACCCGCGCCGTGACCTCATAGCGAGCTGGACCTAACCCATTGGCAGCGCCCGCATGCGCCCCAAGGCTAATTCCAGCACGCCCCTCACACGTTTCGTGGCCCCACGGAGAGTTCCTCCGAGGCCCCAATGGTCGGGGGGCGATTTCTGGGCACTGCCCCCGCGCGCGTACCTTGTGCCGGATCAGTTTGTTCGTCGGGGCGGTGTGCACACACCGCGTGCCCTGAAGATGCCAACCTCAGTCACAGCCCCCCTCTCCACGGCCTTGGGCCCGAGCTGGTCGTGGTGGCGGCATGCCAAGGTGTTCCCAGGTGGCGGCGCCCGCAGGAGTCCTCGGGCCCACGTCGGCACGCCCTGCAGACGTCTCGTGGCCCACAGGGAGGCCCCCCCCCAACAAAAAAGAAACAAAAACAAACAACAACAAAAAACAACCGCGGCAGGGCCCGCATGAGGCATGCGCCTTCAGGCCCATGCCCGCACGCCCCTCGCACGTTCCTCGCGCGTCTCGTGGCTCCACAGGGAGCTCCACTGGAGGCGAGAGTCACGAGCGTGGCGCCTCACAGCCGCCCATGGCTGGGTCCTGCGCCGGGGCCATTTTCTCTGGCACCAGGACCACCACAGATCGATCCGTCGGCTCGGGGCATACGTCCGAAAGATGGGGACCACGACTCCAGTTGTATTTCTTCGGGATGCTGCAGAGTGGAGGCCCATGCCAAGAAGCAGCCTGCTTGCCTCCAGGGTGCCCTGGATTTCTTGGATTTCGACGGTTTTGCGATGGGAAGCGTGACGCTCCCACGCCTCAGGGTTGGGTTTCTTGTGGAAGGCTTCTTGTGGACTGGCCTCCACTGTCGGACTCTAGCTACATTTTCTCGGGATGCTGTGTGCTTGGTCGCATTGTCGGACCTCCGGGCCTCCAGGGCATGCTCCCGGGCAAGCCTGGTATCGGGAGACTTGCTCGGGAGCGTCACCGAACGCTGCCTCGGTGCGCTCCCGGCCGCGCTCCGCAACAGCCGCGGCGCCCAGCACGACCTCCACGGGGTGGCGACGCGCCCTAGCTTGCCTGTATCGGGGGCGGCCAAGAAGAGGGGGGTGATGACGAGGGGGGTGGGGATGTCGGGGGCCATGGTATGTCCCCAGACTTCATGGCGCCTCTTCTTGTTTCTGTACGTCCCTGGTCCCTCCCTGGGCCGCGCTCATGCTGCTGGCCATGATTTGTGCCCCCCCCCCCCCCCCCATTCTTGGACGTCCCTCTCTTGGACGCCCCCGACTATAGGCCCACCAAAGAATGTTCTGAGAACCTTTTGTGGTAGGCCTATAGGAACGCCTGGACGGTCGGTCCCTACTCAAAACGCCAGTCCCGCAGGCTCTCAGAGAGCCCAGATTTATGCCGATCCGATTTTTTTGCTTAGCTCTTCGGCCCAGGAATGGTATGCTTTTTATATCACCCCTCAGGGCCGAACCCTGGAGCAGGGCCTCACGGGAATCCAAATGTGCTACGGTACATGGGTTCCGCTCCAGCATGCCAGCCGACCTGACATCGGCATCACCCGAACATTCTCATACTGTGTGTGTGTGTGTGTGTGTGTGCGTCGACCCCCGCTCCAAGGCGACACGCGCGCTGCAACGTCTTATACGATACAGCAGGAAGTGCTCGGCGGCGGGCGCTTTCTGGTCATGCCGCCTGGGTAACGACGTACTGCAATCGGCTTCCCCCCCAACATACTACTGCTATGAGTGCGTCGCCCCCCCTGGGGCGAAGCGCGCACCGAGAAATCTTCTAGTAGATACGTCGTGGCGGGCGCTTCCTGGGCACACCGCTCGGGAAACGAGATACTACAAGATGGGTATACTGTGCGTTCGGGTCGGGCGCGCGCCTCCAAGAAGGACATATAGTATCAGCATGTCTCTATGCGTCCCATGCAGGCTGTTTGTGCCGTGTCTTCGGTCTGGGGGTGCGCCTCCGAGGTGGGCGCACAGTGTTGGTGTGTCTCTCTGCCCCGACGAAGGCATCTATACACCACCACCGTGCCAGGCCAGGGCCATCCTGGGTTCCAGGATGGTGTATAGACCCTCCTGGCCTCGGCCACGATGGCGTATACACCATGCCAGGGTCAAGATGGCCTTGGCCTGGCTCGGTGGTGGTGTATGTACGCCTCCTGCGTATCTGCGTCCCATGACACGCCGCGTGCCCCCGGCGTGCCGAGCGCGTGCGGCGACGGGGGTCAACGCCGCGGCCCTGCGAGCATTCGTGCCCCTCGCTTGCAGCGAGGGGCCGGTGTGGCGGAGCCTCTGCAGTACCGCTGCCATGAGCGCACGCAGCGTTCGGTTTGGTTTGGTCGCCAGGCAGTTCCCGTAGGGCAGAGCTCAGAGGTCCGAGGCGTTTTGCTGCGGTGTGGCCAACGCTTCGATGCAGATGGTCGCCACGTTTGAGATTGCGTTTGAATAGCAAGCAGCATGACGGAGGCCTTCGGCTCGCCAAGTCTGGGTGGGGCGGCGCAGACGACCAATTCGTGGTGCCGAGGCGGTCCTGACAGGTGGGCCTCTTATGCCAAGCTCCGTCCGACCCAGTTGAGCGCAAACTTCTGACGCAGTCAGGTTTCGCCACAGCAGCACCCGAGCGCTTAGTTTTCCGTCCCAGCCTGTCCCTGGACATGCAGACATGTTTCCCATCGTGCCCCATTTGTTCGCCTTCTTGCTTGCTGTCCGCGCGCGTTGCCTCTCTCTGTGAGCTCGCGGCAAAGGCGGGCCTCCCAAGTGCCAGGGGGCGCTCTCTGCCCCAATCGAGGTGAGTATCTTCTTTTCAACACAGGCGTCGCGCCGGTCGGTTTTTCAGCGCCTTGGGGAGGGTGGGCGGGTGGACATCTACGAGGCGGGCTGAGGTCAGGCTAACGCAAACATGGAGTAAGGGGGCGTGGAGTAGCGACGGGTCCCGTTCCCATGGGACAATCGCGGATTTCAGCCGCCGAACGAGGCGGCACCAGCCGCATTTTGGGGACGGCACCTCCCCGGATCCATGTTTGCGTGCCCCCGAATAAGCATCATGTCTCTGAGGTCCGCACGGATTTCTTGAATCGGCGTTGTGCCCCCCTGGCGGCGCCTTCGGCGCAGCCATTGGCGCGCTCCACGCGCCGGGGATGGGCGTCCAGCGCCGATGCAAGATACTTGCGCGGACCTCTGAGAAGTGACCTCTGTACGTTTTTCTTGTCTTTCCAGGACAGCTAACTCCTTGTCTCGAGCCCACCCATGCCAGACGGCTTTCTGGCTCTTTGTCTCCGCGTGCTGCGCGCGGAGTCTTGCTGGCTTGTGCAAAGGACTCCTGCGCGGCCGTATTTTCATAGCAGCGGCGCGCGAGGTGCACACTTCTCCAGGCGGCGACGTGGGCGTCCCGCGTGCCGGCCAGGAGCTGTGCGCCCCTATATCGAGGTGAGTATTGTTGGTGCTAGGCTGATGAGCCTGTTTTCCATCACCACCACCACCATCAGTTAGAGGGAGGAAGGAGGTGGAGGAGGAGGAGGAGGAGGAGGAGGAGGAGGAGGAGGAGGAGGAGGACCCCTCTCCCTCCTACTTATGGTGGTGGTGGTGGTGGAAAACGGGCCCATCGTAGGCGCTTCGCTGGGCCCGCGGGGCGGGCGGAGAGGGCCTCGCCGCCCTGCCCTCGCAGAAGCGGGCCCGGCAGGCGCGGCACGCGCGGGCGGGCCACGCTGCCTGGCTGCCCGGCTGCGCGAGTTGCGCAGCCAGGCGCCGTCGCAGTGGCACGCAGGCGCGAGAGGCTCGTCGCGGTCTCGGAGGAGGCAAAAGGTACCCATACCTTCGGATGAAACTCCTGAGAGGTCAAACTTTGGCTTTGCCCTGGTCCGCAGTCCAGTTTCATCCGGCTTACTCCCGCTTGATCCCGCTTAATCCCGCTTAATCTGGTTTAGTCCAGCTTAATCCGCGGCAAAATCTGGCGTAGTACTCCCCCAATGGGGCTCAATCCTCTTTATTCTTTCCGGCGAAGACCTCCCAGTAGTTGCCTCCGAACATACCTCTACCCTCCCCTCGTTTTCCCCTTTCTGGGCCCCCTGGGCCTCCGTCGTCGCCGCCGCCGGATTCGCCTCGAGGCCCGGGGAGTAGCGGTATTGGTACCCTTTGGCTTCCCCACGGTTTGCCTCCGTCCGAGGGGAGTCCGCAGGTCTTTTCTTGAGCCGCACTCCTCCGTGGGATTTGCTTTACTCCGTGTGCCCGCGGCCACGCGAGTACTCCAGGTGCCGCGTGGCGTCATGCGCTCGTTCTCTTCTGGGCGGGCCGCCACTCAGCCTTCCCCTCCTCCCCCTCCTCCCCCTCCTCCCCCTCCTCCCCCTCCTCCTCCTCCTCCTCCTCCTCCTCCTCCCCCTCTTCCCCCTCCTCCCCCTCCTCCCCCCCTCCTCCTCCTCCTCCTCCTCCTCCTCCTCCTCCTCCTGCTCCTCCTCCTCCTCCTAGCCAGCTGCGCCAGCTGCGCAGACTATGTCCTGGTCCTCCTCGGAAGGCCGCTGTGCGCCACCATTCCTGTCCCTGCCGCTGTGCGCCAGCATTCCTGTCCAGGGGCATCCTGGGTCCCTTGGCTGATGCATCTCAGGAGGGGAACAAACACAAACACAGACACAATGAATCGTCGACTCCGAGGGAAATATGGGAAAATGCGGGAAGTGGGGGGGAAGACGAACATATGGGAAATAATGGGAATCTTGTTGTTTGTGTCTATTTATTTGTCTGTCCCAAGGCACCTTCAGCATCTACGTGCCCGCCCCCAGACACAGTGAATCGTCGATTCACCAGAAAAATATTGGAAAATATGGGAAGTGGGGGGAAGGCAAAAACCCAGAACATCTGGGGGATCCTGTTGTTTGTGTATTTATTTGTGTGTGTGTGTGTGTGTGTGTCCCGGGGCCCCATTCCCAATTCCTTTTCGTTGTGATGAACTCCTCCCTGTCGCACCCCGAAGCCGGTCGAAAGGGCGGGCTGGGCGTTTCGCTTGAGACTTACTCACCATGTATGACCTTGAAGCTCAAACATTAGCACCATGTTCACAGATGGAGGGCGGGCCGTTTTAAAACGTTGCTCTCGCCTTAGCGCCGCGCACCTTTGTTTTAAACCTGCAAGAGTTTAACGAAGTGAGGGCGGGTCGTTATCAACATGTGGGTTGCTCTAGCGCCGGGCACTCGTCCTAAACATGTGCACGTGTTTCACGGAGGTTGAGGGCGGGTGATTTTCAGAATGTGATCCTCGCTTTAGCGCCGCGCACGTTCGCCTCAAACATGTGCAAAAGTTTCACGGATTGAGGGCGGGTCATGTTGAATAGGTCATTCTAACCACAGTGCCGCGCACATTCGTTTTTTTGTATCGCAGGATTTTCACGGATAGAGGGCGGCTCTGTTTCAAGATGTGGTTCTCGATTTGGCGCCGCGCACATCCGTTTCACATTTTTTCAAGGGTCCCTATGGGCCACGTACCAGAAATGGTGTTTTGGAGCGATTCATGGCCGTCAGGGTGCGTTGTTCAAGTCCAGAGGATGGTGTTCTGGGATGGTCAGGGACGCAATGGTGCGATTCAGGATGGGTGCGATTCAGGATGGTCAGGGACGCAGCAGTCAGGTTGATTCGTGGCGTTGAAGCCCCGAGAACAGTATTTTGGCACGCTTCAGAATCATCAAACGGATGTCTCCCAACGGGGCCCTTCATCAGTGGAAAGGAACCCGTGTAGGGGCCTATGAAGAGGGAGTTTGGAGGGAGAGATTATTCCAGCATCGTTGATGAGTCTTGGGTTTACACTGGGCATCCTCCTTCTTCTCCTTCTCCTCCTTGTGGCCTGCCGCTTTTGGATTACGGAGAGTGGGTTGGCTGCCAAGGTGACGGGTCTTCCCCGTCTCGCTCACCTCCAGTCTAGCACTACTCTTGAGAGGAGGGCGAGGTGAGACAACGTTGGCTGGTCTTTCTTGGGGACCCCGCGTCGCCAGGCTGGACGCAGCCCGAACAATTTTTGCCGTTCGATTTTGAGCTGCTGTTGTCTCAATTCGCCGTTCTCCGCACTCCTGAGATCGATCCATCTCTTTGGATTTATCCGGTGTAGGCCCACTTATTTTCAAGTGTGCGCTTGAGGCAGGGGCCCTAAGAGGTTAGCGATCCCTAGCATCCTCGCCGATGTGCCTGGTGCGATCTCGTGTCGGCGCCCCGGATTGAAGTTGCCCGTGGCAGCGTGCGATTTGACATTTGACCACAGTGTGTCTTGCTCGACTCGCCTCGCGTCTCTAGACTTGTAGAACCCCGTGCATCCCCAGCCTCTTACCCAGAGGTGGATCGTGGGCGAATTGTAAACGGTGTGTCGCATCGCTGGCGAAACAAGCAGGGCGGCCTTGCAGACCGACCTTTACGTTCCTGTTCACGCTTCAGACCTCCCTTTTCGATGATCCTCTGGATGTGCGTTAGCCCAAGCAGTTGCGAAGCGTCCTGGCGTGCCAATAGGCCTACCAATCAATGTTCTAAGAACCTTTTGTGGTTTCTACGAAATATGCTTAGAACATTTCTGGCTGGGACTGTCTTGTTTTAACACATCGGGTTTATGTTCTAAGAACATTGTTTTTGTGATTCGAGCATTTTGGGGTTCTAAGAACATTTCGTGTTAGGACTATGGATTGCCGGGACTGTCGATCCCTGTTCAACCAGCCCAAGCGTGTGGTTATCCCGTTCGTCTCCGCCGATAGCGCGGAACCTGTGCCGGCCCTCGTTGCGTCGCCTGCATCGTATAGATGGGCCTCGGTGGGCGGAGGATCATCGACCTTGGGCTATCTGCCCGCATCTTGGCAGATGCGATGGATGCCGTCGCGAGATCCTCGGGGCCCTTTTGGACGCCCTCGGGTCCCTCAGGGGGGGGGCCTGGAGCCCAAGCTGTGGCTGCTGGATTGCAGTCGTTTCTTTCCCTGTGGTCCTGGAGGCTCTCGGTTTCACCTGCCCATGCTATGGCCCCTCTTGGGCCATCTCGGGGCCACCAGAATGCCTCAGAGGGCCATTAGAAGCCAGAGAGGCGAGAATCTAACAGCTGTCGAAACACAACATTGATGTTGCCATGATTTCGGCCTCCCCGGGGCATCTTTGGGAGGCTCTGGGGCCCCCACAGCAATATCGGGGTTACTAGGGGCCTCCGGCAGCTATGTTGGAGGCTATCCTGGGCTAGCCAGGGCCGCTGGGGAGCCATATCGGGTCATCTTGTCTCTCAGTTGGGTGTTCCCTCCGTCCAGTATGAGGAGAAGCATGAGAATGAGCAGGAGGAAGAGGTAGAGGAGGACGACGAGAGAGGAGGGAGGAAGGAGGAGGGAGGAGAGACGAGGAGGAGCAGAAATATGATCAGGAGGAGGGGGATCATGATGATGGTGGTGGTGATGATGATGATGATGCAAAGAGAACGATCGTACAAGTACGCGCATGTTTATCTATGAATGCACAGAGTGGACTCGCGATTTTCTTTCGACCGATTCGAAAGTTTCCGGGCCCGACCGACCCCTGCCGCCATGCTCTGGCCGCCGGCCCGCGCACGGGCCGGTTGCTGCCCCAGATGCTGTCCCGGCTGCTGCCCCAGCCGCCGACGCCACGGGCCTGACCCAGGATGCCGGCGGCCTCGGCATCAGCGACTCCAACGTCGACGTCGACGAGGGTCGCCGCGATCTGCCGCAGCCAGTGCCGATTGCTCTGGCGGCGGCTGTTCTGCCACCAGCTCCACAGGAGGGGCTGCCTCACCTGCAACTGCCGCGGCAGCCTCCCGCAATGAACCCCTCACCTGCTGCTGGTGGAGGGACACAGCCCGCTCCTCAACAGCAGCAGCGATTGGTAACGACAGCAGGCGTACAGCTTGACGTCCGGGGCGACTTCCTGGAGTCCATGATTCTACTGCATCCGCTACTTCACCAGGCAGCTGCGGCTATCCGAGCGGAGGCCCTTGCCGCAGTCCCCCGAGCTGAACTATTGAATCAGATTCTCCAGTTAATGGCCTTTCGCCCGAACTCGCCTGTCCCTTGGATGCAGCTCGTGCTCTCCCTTGGAGACGGTCCATCCCCGTGGCCGCAGGACTTGGAATCTCGCTGGTCGACAGTGTCCCTACTCTTGCCGATGGATGCAACTGGAGAGGCCTTGACACGAACGCAAGATGGCCATCGCGACTGCTATGCTCAACTACCTGCTATAGCACAGGGCCGTGTCAAGGCTCTTGCTCACCCAGTCGACCGCTGGAGGGAGTTGGGGCCAGAGGCACTCGGCCTTTTTTAGCTACACCATAATGCCCTGAAGAGGTAGTGGCTACCCAGCTCTCGTCAGTTTTGCCAGCGCAGCGCAATTCGACATCTCTCAGGCCAGTGGATGCCGCACGTGACCTCTACGCACGAGCTCTGAAAGGAGAGGTTGTTTACTCGCAATTTGCAAGACGGGGCCTTACTCTTTGGGCGCCCCCAAAACGTGTCGAGCTTGGTCGGTATTCCACGTCGGTGCATGACGCTTGCACTCTTTGACTGGTGGCTGATATTGACATCCACCCGGGATGCACTACAGCTGTGCAATGTATGTGGCACCATCTTTGCTGTGCCATCTACGTAGTGTAAACTATGTTGTGCAATTTAAGGGTACATGATGCTGGAAAACATGTGTTTGGTGAAGCCTTTGTGTTTTTGTTCCACCGATGGCGTGCAATCTATGTGGTGCAATCTACTTTGACTGTCTTGATGCTGTCCTCTCCACTGCTCGTGCAAACATCCCACCCTTCCACCCGCAACTTTGTCGCAAGACCTCTTAAGACCGTGACGGTAGGCACCAAATTGTACTTGGCAGCGACACCGACCCCGACGACGACAGCGACGACTACGACGACGACGCCGACGACAACTACGACGACACCGACGACGATTCTGACGACTTCGACGACGACGACGACGACAACGTCGACGGCGACGGCGACGGCGACGACGACGACGACGCCGACGCCGACGACGACGACGATGACGCCGACGACGACAACGACGCCGACCACGACGACGCCGACGACGACGACGACGACGACGACGGCGACGAAGTAGGAGGGACGACGACGAGACGCCGACGACGGACGACGACGACGACGAGGGAGGAGGAAGGACGACCACGGCGACAACGACGACGGAAACAACGACGACACCAAAGATGACGACGACGGCGACGACCAGACGCCATCGCGTCGGTGATGGAGGTTTTGGAAAGAATTCGAAATGCGCGCGCGGCAGGCGCGCGAGAGTGGCTTACATGGTGTTATTTGACACGGATTGTGCCGCCCCAACACGCGCGCAATGGCGTTCGAACGATTTCGACATGCGCGCGCGCGAAGCCCGTTTGGTAGCATGTTATGGAAATTTTGAAACACCGACGGTTATCCTCACATTTCGCAAGAGCGCGCGCACGTTTTGTTTGACAATCTGTGGTGCGAAATCATGTGCTGTCATATGTTTTTTGGACAACCGATCTTGAATTCTACCCGAAACCGAACGTTTTTGAAGGATGTCGGCATGCGCGCGACGACGCGCGCGTGTGCACTTTGTTTTTTTTTGTTGCAAGGGTTTCTCGCGACGGCACGCGCGCATAGTGTTTTCGAACGATTTCAGCATGCGCGCGCGAAGCCTGTTTGACCGCATTTTATGAACATGTTGAAAGAACGATGGTTTTCCCAAGAAAGTATAAAAGCGCGCACGTTTTTTGTTGAAAATCCGTGTTGCGAAGCCATGGTTTTCTATATATATATACATTGGACGCTTCATTTTGACACCCTTCGAAACGGAGGGTTTTTGAATGAGTCCGGCATGCGCGCGCGACGACGCGCGCGTGTGCACTTCGTCTAACTTGTTGCAAGGTATTATTGGATTCTGTTTTGTTGTAAGCGAGTGCGCGCATATTTTGTTGCAGAGGATGGCCGGGGGGGTGGCGATACCGGCCCCCTTGGGATGGCCGCAAGTTGATTTTTAGGATGGGCGATGGGGCAGAATCGTGTGTAAATTGCAATGCGAAAAAAGGGGACCTTGAATTCTGGGGGGGTAGAACCATTTTTTTTTTCCGAAATAGAGTATAGGTAGTGCAATATGTGTGGTTCCAGATATGTTGCGCAATGTGTGTGTGTGTGGAGTATTATCGGGCGTAGTATCGGTAGTGCAACCTATGCGTGCAATCCGTGTTGGAGAACCCATGGTTTGCATTCTGGGTTGCGGATTCAGCGATGTGCAACCAATGTGGTGTAATCTCAGTGGTGCAATATAGGGGAACCCATGGAGCTAGTTCGACGCAATGAATGTGGTGCAGCGCGCGTTGTGCAATTTATGTTGTGGAATATGTTGTGTGCTGCCGACGTGTTGCGAAACAGGTTGTGCAATCTGTAATGTGTTGCCGATGTTGTGCGCTCCGTCTTGTGTACCCCATGTGGCGCAACCCATGAGGTACACTCCTGTGGTGCGCAAGCAAAATGTGAAGCGATGCGTCCGGTGCAACGTGCGAGGTGCATTTTATTGGGTGCGATCTGGGTTGTGCAATATTTGCTGTGCGGTCTATGTCGTGCAGCTTGTGTGCTCCACTATACGTGGTGTTGTCCATGTTCATGCACATACGTGAACTAACCTATGTGGTGCACCTTTTGTGGTGCAGTTAATCTGTTCGCAGTGATGTCAAGTTGGTTTTCAAGACCCATGCGGAGACGATTGCGATGAGTGCTTCGTGTTGGCTGGTGCATCTCTGCGGGCGCGCTGGCCCACGCACGCTCGCGCGCGCAGCAACCAGCTAGTTTGGCGCGACCGACGCGGCCGCGGTGGCGCTAACCAGTGGGCGTTTCCTAACAGGCACTTCAGTGCGAGTCGGCGGCTTGGGCGGGCGCGGTATCACAGCAACGTCGGCAGCGGTAGATACGATGCTGATGGTAGCGATGCTGGCGACGATGACTACAACGACGACGGCACGGTCATTGACGGCGCCGATGCAGATCACGCCGACGACGATGACGGTGTCTTCGCGTCGGGGATGCAAAATTTGGAGGGAGTTCGTCATTCGCGCGGCAAACGCGCGAGAGAGGATTTGGCACGGATCGTGCACCCCCCCACCAGCACGCGCGCAATGGCGTTCGAACGGCGCGAATGCCCCCCGTGTTTTGCAGCAGTCGAGCGCGTTCTTTATAAGCACATTCAAAGTACATGCAGAACCATGTGATCATATTTGTTCGGGGCAGTGGATTTTGAAATCCTGACGACCTCCTTGTTTCTCTCATATCTACATATATATAAATAAAGTAAATGTGTATTTGTATATGCATATATATATATACACATACGTATACCAGAACATGTTGACGTGCG